CCTCCGATTTAGGGTAAATGGTGCACCAAAGTCCCTCTATATCTTTCGATTTGCATGAAATTTGGCACAGAGTACTGACTGAGGTCCAGAATGATGTGTGTCAAGTTTCGAGAAAATCGGTTCAGATTTAGATATAGCTCCCATATATAGTTTCGTCCGATTTAAGGTAAACGGGGCACCAAAGTCCCTGTATATCTTTCGATTTGCATGAAATTTGGCACAGAGTACTGACTGAGGTCCAGAATGATGTGTGTCAAGTTTCGAGAAAATCGATTCAGATTTAGATATAGCTCCCATATAAAGTTTCGTCCGATTTAAGGTAAATGGGGCACCAAAGTCCCTCTATATCTTTCGATTTGCATGAAATTTGGCACAGAGTACTGAATTAGGTCCAGAATGATGTGTGTCAAGTTTCGAGAAAATCGGTTCAGATTTAGATATAGCTCCCATATATAGTTTCGTCCGATTTAAGGTAAATGGTGCACCAAAGTCCCTCTATATCTTTCGATTTGCACGAAATTTGGCATTGCGTAATGAATTAATGAATGTGTGTTTAGTTTCGTGAAAATCGGTCCAGATTTAGATATAGCTCCATATATATCGTCCGATATATATATATATATATACATATACATATATATACGCTTATAATAGATTTTCATAATTTTGTCCCTGGTCCTTTAAAAATTCGACGTCTTTTAGGTTTCATCTGTTGGATATACCGAAAGTGGTGAAGGGTATCATATAGTCGGCCCCGTCCGACTTTACTGCTTTCCTTACTGGTTTGCGATGAATTTGGTCTTCTGAGTGAAAATTACTCCCCTATAATCAGTATCAAGCCATTGCCGGTAATCCAAAGATCTTAGCCGAATTTTTAAAACGTAGTGGAAAAAAGTTGGCATACCATGCTCTACGAAGGCGAAACAAATTTCTGATAGAGGTTCAACATATATGGATCTCAGAAAGATGACCCATCAGTGGCCTTTTATACATTGAACATTTGTTTTTCATATACTATCTTATCATATAGGTAAAAGTAAAAAACATTTAAAATCAGTCGCCAAAAAAATTAGTACCGAAGGGATTGAAAAAATCTGGTTGATAAAATTACTATGGATTTTTCAAAACACCTAAAATGGAGACTGGGTCCAATATATGTGCATTATGTTCCAACACACATTGACAATTTTCTGCCTGGACTTCTTGTAGCCTCTGGAAACCCAAAATTCCAAACCACGATCACTTCAGGGGGGAAATTCCTTTAGGACTTTTAATCTACTTAAAATGTTAGGGAGCTATTTTAAAACAAGAATTTTTTTAACCGGGAGTTATTTTATACTCTGTGAGACTGAAACCTTAAATAATATGTAATTAATTGTGAAATGCGACGAGGAACCTTAAAGTATCAACACAAGGCAAGGCTAAGTACATAAAATGCCGATTTCTGTACTCACCAACGTGCTATAGAAAAAATCTGCCCTCAATGACTAAGTATTATTTTCTATAGAATTTTGAAAAAACTTCTTCCATAGAAGTATTTATCTCAGCACTCCCAATCACGATATCCCGCTTGTACTAAATCTATATCAAAGGTTACTACTACCGGCAGTGAATCATTAACCCTAAGCCTTTTATAAAATTACTCGTGTGATTAATTACAATTAACTTCTCGCCAGTTTAGCAGCACTCAATTTAAACGCTTGCAATAATTGATGAAATTATTTTAAAAACTTAGTCATTATGGCGAACAATTTAAATTCCATTGAAAGGGGGCAACAACAGTAACTATAAACAGCGGCTAAACTCCCACAAATACGAATTTCATTCATACTCGTATTTGTGGTATTTTTTTTTTTTTTTTGCAATACTCAAATCACAAAAATGCCAACAATGTCAAATTGTATTTCAAAATTTTATTAGGGTAAATAACCGACAAAAATCAAACGCCATTGATATATATTTCACTACCAGTGTTTCGTAAAGACGAAATAGAATTCTTTTTTGTTTTCTTATCTTATCGTGTCGTCGTCGATGTTGACTTTCAATCAGATATCAAAAGAATTTCTTTAAATTATTCAAAGAAAAATATTATTAACAAATCGTATCTACACATTAGCGGGGTGTTGCTGGAATTTTACGCCGAGGAAATATTTTAATAATATTTTAAGTATTGCAAAAAACACGAAGTTATCAAACGGAAATATCTGTGATTTATGGCTTTATTTTGCTGTCAATTAGAAAACATATTTCTATGAATGGGATTTATATAGAGAACAGGTGTACGAGAAGGTGCTAACATAGGTCTGATTAGTTGGTTCAGGTTAGTTTGAACTAGAAATATTTTTCTGTATAAAAATGTTTCTGAGGTATCAAAACTCAGACACTGAGGTCTGATTTTGTTTCTATACGAAAAAGAACTCAGACACTGAGGTCTGAATTTTTTTCTATAGAAAAAACACCTCAGACACTGAGGTCTGAATTTTTTTCTATAGAAAAAACACTTCAGACACTGAGGTCTGAATTTTTTTCTATAGAAAAAACACCTCAGACACTGAGGTCTGAATTTTTTCTATAGAAAAAAACACCTCAGACACTGAGGTCTGAATTTTTTTCTATAGAAAAACACCTCAGACACTGAGGTCTGAATTTTTTTCTATACGAAAAAAGTTTAGAAACTGAGGTCTGATTTTTATACCCTTCACCACACTGTGGTACAGGGTATTATGTCTTTGTGCATATGTTTGTAACAGGTAAAAGGAATCGAGATAGACCCATAGTTCTTTTTGAGAATATGCATAGAATCACTTTCTGAGTCGATTTACGCATGTCCGTCTGTCCGTCCGTCCGGCCGTCCATGTATTTTTGTGAACAAAGTACAGGTCGCATTTATGATCCGATTTGGATGAAATTTGGCACAGTTCACTTGTTTGGCCCAAGGACGAACCCTATTGAAATTGGGAAAAATCGGTTTAGATTTAGATATAGCTTCCATATATAGTTTCGTCCGATTTAATGTAAACGGTCCGTATATATCTTTCGATTTGCACGAAATTTGGCACAGAGTAATGAATTAGGTCTAGAATGATGTGTGTAAAATTTCATAAAAATCGGTTCAGATTTAGATATAGCTCCCATATATATTTTCGTCCGTTTTTTTTTTGTAAATGGTGCACCAAAGTCCCTATATATCATTCGATTTGCACGAAATTTGGCACAGCGTAATGAATTAGGTCTAGAATAATTTGTGTAAAATTTCATAAAAATCGGAACAGATTTAGATATAGCTCCCATATATATTTTTGTCCGATTTAAGGTAAATGGTGTATATTTTTTGATTTGCACGAAATTTGGCACAGCGTAATGAATTAGTTCTAGAATAATGTGTGTAAAATTTGATGAAAATCGGTTCAAATTTGGATATAGCTCCCATATATATTTTCGTCCGATTTTAGGCAAATGGTGCACCGAAGTCCCTATATATTCATCGATTTGCAGGAAATTTGACATAAAGTACTTAATTAGGTCAAGAATGAGGTGTGCTAAGTTTCGAGAAAATCGGTTCAGATTTAGATATAGCTCCCATATATATTTGCGTCCGATTTTATGTAAATAATGCACCAAAGTTCCTAAATATCTTTCTATTTGCATGAAATTTGGCATAACGTACTGAAGTGAGCTTAGAGTGATGTCTGCTAAATTTCGTGAAAATCGGTCCAGATTTATATATAGCTTCCGATATTATGTAAATGGTGCACCAAAGTCCCTATATATATTTCGAAATTTGGCATAACGTACTTAATTGAGGCTTGAGTGCTTTATGCCAAGTTTCGTAAAAATCGGTCCAGATTTAGATATAGCTTCCATATATAGTTTTGTTCCATTTTATGTTAAAGATTCACCAAAGTCCCTATAAATCTTTCGATTGCACGAAATTTGGTATAGCATACAGGATTGAGCCTGGAATGATATGTGCTGAGTTTCGTGAAAATCGGTTCAGATTAAGATATGTATATATTTCCGTCTGATTTAATGTAAATAATGTACCAAAGTTCTAATATTGCATAGATCGATTGATTTTAAGTAATTGACGAACCAAGGAACTAGTATATGGTTGATAGAAACAAAACGTACTGAAATTAGTATAACCCAACCTGTGACAAGTTTCGTTGAAATCGGATCATATTTGGATATAGATTCCACATATATTTTCGTCCGATTTTAAGTAAACGGTGCAAATGGTGGATTTTAGTTCATCCAATTTCATGTTAATTGTTCTGTTTAATATACCCATAGTGGTGAAGGGTATCATATAGTCGGCCCCGTCCGACTTTACTACTTTCCTTACTGGTTTTTTTTTATTGAAAAATACGCTTAGACACTGAGGCCTGAATTTTGCCTTTAGAAAAAATCGGACCTCATATTGTCTGGTCAATTTTTTTTTGCCATCACTTTTGTTTGCCACTGTATGCCCAGGTCTCAAAAGGTTAACAACGTCCATCTTTCATCATCAATATCGTATTTATTTCTGTTTACAGCTTCGGTAAAATAGAAGGCATCTGGTTGAAGACACCATACGCATAGAAAAGAAAACTTCTAGTTAGAAGTAGAAGAAAAAAAGAATCCGAAGAAAATTTGCAATTTTCCATGGAAAATAAATAAAATAAAACAAACGACGACAGTCAAGTACCCCGGCCTGAAAAGAAAACTACAAAGGAAATTCGTCTTAAAAAAATTGCAAAAAATCCGAAGAAAAAATCGCATACAACAAATTGCAACAACAACAACTACTTCAAATATTTACAAAGTATTTGAAAGTATTGGGAACGTGTGTGGTCGGACAATTGGTCATACCTTGAGTGTGTGTATATCTGTCCATTGTAACCCGAGTGAATGTATTCCATTTTGGGCCACAGATCTACGCGAACAACAACACCAACAGCAATACCAACATCAACATCAACGAAGGCTATCTATCCATCCGCATCTAAGTGCTATTGGCCGCCACAATGCTGACATATCAGCGCGGTTTCTTTTGTGGTGACCTGAGCATAAGGTACCCTTACCATGAGTGTACCATTACCGTGCCCATGCTACTGGTTTGCATGCTACTTCTACCCATGCTGTTCCTTAGCGTTGTGGAGATTATGCGCCTATGCCACAATTTTCGATTGCGGCAATATCTACGAAATACCAGTCTGAGTTTGGGTTGTTTCAGCTTTGGTTTCATTGCCACCTATTTGAGTACGGAATTGGCCAAGAATGTGGTGCGACGTCTAAGGCCCCATTTCTATATGGCCTGTCGGCCGACCCTCAACGACGGCTCTACATGTGACGACCCCAAGAATCGCAATCTCTTTGTCGAACAATACTATTGTTCGAATCGCAATTTATCCGCACGTCAATTGCGCGAACTCTATGTGTCATTCCCTAGCGCCCATTCGTCGTTGTCATTCTACGCCATGCTGTTTTTGGCCTTTTATCTGCACGCCATCTGGCGGGGTGGTCGTGGTGTGAATCGTGTCTTGCGTCATTTGTTGCAATTTCTGTTTCTGTCGTTGGCCTGGTTTATATCGTTGAGTCGTGTGGCCGATTACTGGCATCATTGGTCGGATGTGATGGCCGGTGCGGTAATGGGTATTATCTATGCCACACTTACCGCCATCTATGTGGGTAGATTTCTAAGCTACTACAGTTCGTCGTCGTCGTCAGCGGCGACAGCAACAAGTCCTCATCATCAGCACCAGCATCACAACAAACAGTCATGTTTGCATCAAACATCGAACAAGTTGAAGGCCTCGTTGAAACACCAACATGTTGGCTCGAGTACGGTAAGCTTTCAGCCGCAGCATCAGCTTCAACAGCACACGCTGAGTCATGAACCAGCTCAACATCAACAGCAGCAGCAGAAAATCCAGCAGCTTTACAGTGATCAGATTTCTGCAGCTTCCACATTGCCTGGCCTGTCGACCACATCGACCGCAGCCGCTTTAGAAGCGGTGACATCGTTAGCATCCACTGTGGCTGAGGAAGAGCTGGTAACATTAACATCAGCCAAAGAGCATCTTATTGCGTCGAATGAGTCCATATGGAAGTCGGCAACATCATAACAACAGCAACATCACCCTCAAGACCCATAACAACAGCAGAAGTATGCGAAAGCATAGATCGAACAATTAGAGGTCGCTGAGGTAATTTTTCTTTAAAGAAATCCGACATGAACTTCAGATGCATTTTATTTCGTATCGAAAAAAATCCGACCTCAGTTCACCTGAGGTATTTTTATCTATAGAAAAAATCAGACCTTAATTCATCTGAGGGATTTTTTTCTATAGAAAAAAATCTTACATTTATTAATCTGAGGGATTTTTTATATAAAAAAATCCAACCTTAATTCACCTGAGAGATTTTTTTGTAGAGAAGGTCTTGTTATTCATAGGAGAGCTGAAGGTCTTCTTCTTCATAGAAGAGCTGAAGGTCTTCTTCATAGAAGAGCTGAAGGTCTTCTTCTTCATAGAAGAGCTGAAGGTCTTCTTCTTCTTCATAGAAGAGCTGAAAGTCTTCTTCTTCTTCACAGAAGAGCTGAAGGTCTTCTTCTTCATAGAAGAGCTGAAGGTCTTCAACTTCTTCACAGAAGAGCTGAAGTTCTTCTTCATAGAAGAGCTGAAGGTCTTCTTCTTCTTCATAGAAGAGCTGAAGGTCTTCTTCTTCATAGAAGAGCTGAAGGTCTTCTTCTTCATAGAAGAGCTGAAGGTCTTCTTCTTCTTCATAGAAGAGCTGAAGGTCTTCTTCTTCTTCATAGAAGTGCTGAAGGTCTTCTTCCTCATAGAAGTGCTAAAGGTCGGAATTTTTTTCTGTAGAAACGAAACTGAGGTCTGAATTTTTTCTATAAAAAACGAACTCAGACACGGTGGTCTGAATTTTTTTCTATAGAAAAAAGTGAGGTCTGAATTTTTTCTATAGAAAACAGTCTTCAGACACGGAGGTCTGAATATTTTTCTATAAAAAAGTCCTCAGACACTGTGGTCTGAATTTTTTTCTATAGAAAAAGTCTTCAGACACTGAGGTCTGAATTTTTTTCTATAGAAAAAAGTCCTCAAACTGTGGTCTGAATTTTTTTCTATAGAAAAACGACACAGTGGTCTGAATTTTTTTCTATAGAAAAAAGTGAGGTCTGAATTTTTTTCTATAGAAAAAAGTCTTCAGACACTAAGGTCTGAATTTTTTTTCTATAGAAAAAAGTACTCAGACACAGAGGTCTGAATATTTTTCTATAGAAAAAAGTCCTCAGACACTGTGGTCTGAATTTTTTTCTATAGAAAAAAGTCCTCAGACACTGTGGTCTGAATTTTTTCTATAGAAAAAAGTCCTCAGACACTGTGGTCTGAATTTTTTCTATAGAAAAAAGTCCTTAGACACTGTGGTCTGAATTTTTTTTCTATAGAAAAAAATGCTCAGACGCTGAGGTCTGAATTTTTTTATAGAAGAAAGTCCTCAGTCACTGTGGTCTGAATTTTTTTCTATAGAAAAAAGTCTTCAGACAATGAGGTCTGAATTTTTTTCTATAGTCTTCAGACACTGAGGTCTAAATTTTTTTCTATAGAAAAAAGGAACTCAGAGAACTGAGGTCGGATTTTTTCTATAGAAAAAAAATGAAGAAGAAAAAAATCAGACACTGAGGTCTGAATTTTTTGTACCCTTCACCACACTGTGGTACAGGGTATTATTTTCTATACAAAAGATTCCTCTGGTTTCGAGTCGGATTTTTTTCCATATTTTTTCCTGTAGCCCTGTGTTCCCATTGCCATTTCGATCCTACGGCTTCTGCTGTTTTTATTGGTTTGAGTTTTTGCTGTTGTTGTTGTTTTTTTGTACAATTATTGTAATTGAGAAATTATGATTATTATTGTTGTTGTTGCAATGATGATGATGATTTGTATTGAAATGTGATAATTTTTTTTTGTATTTTACAATTTTTTTATTTATGGTTTTTTTAAGATCCAAATGCTGCTCTTTTACTACTTTATAAGTATAGATGTATGTAAAAATGTATGTAAAATTATGTGCCCTTTAGTTTTATTTTTTTGTTCTGTTCCGCAGCTAGCCTAGTTAGAAGTAGTAAGAGGAGTCTATTGTATAGCTGTTGTAATTGAGATGAGAGATGCGGTTTTGTAAACCTATACTCCTCACAATTCTGAGTCTAGAGATTATTGTCAATGTATTGGTGTAGCTTTAAATTTTTAAGAAGAAAAAAAATTACAGTGGGAGCTCTTTGAAGAAACAAGATTATTTTTAAAATAAAAAAGTAAAAAATATTTTTATATAATTAAAAAATATTTTTATATAATAAAAAAATATTTTTTTTAATAAAAAAAATATTTTTTTATAATAAAAAAAAATATTTTTATAAAAAATAATAAAAAAAATTTTTTATAACAAAAAATATTTTTTTAATCCCTAGGGAGTACATATAGTATTTGTATAATAATAAAGAAATATTTTTTTATAATAAAAAATATTTTTTATTATAAAAAAAATATTTTTTTTATAATATTTTTTTTTATACAAAATATTTTTTACAACAAAAAAAATATTTTTTATTATAAAAAAAAAATATTTTTTATTATAAAAAAAATATTTCTTTATTATGAAAAAAATATTTTTTAATCCCTAGGGAGTAGATTTTTTTACTTTCCCTGGTACTCTAAGATTTCCCAATATTTCTTCATCGAGGTCCCACAGTAAACTATGTCAATATGTATAGTTTTATTGTATAGCCTTTATAAATTGTATAATTTTTTTATTAGTTTTGTTTTTTTTAGCTTACCACTTATTTGTTATTATTGCCATTGTCATTGTTGTTGCTGTTATTATTATTTTAGCTATATGCCAATTTATGATGCATATTATTTTTTATGATAATTTTTTTATATAGATTTTTTACCCCACCACCACTCGTCGTCATTCTGGCTCGTTAAGGCGTCTGTGTCTGCATTTATGAAGTTATAAATTTAAAACAATGTACTCGATTCGGTTCGTATTGGTCTGGACTTAATTCAGTTTTTATTTTTATTTGAATTTGGATTTTTAGTTTTTCTCTAGAGGAGGATCATCTGCTTGCAGCCTGCCTGACTGTCGGCCTGCCTGCGTAGCTTGACGACTGCCTGGCTGTGTGTCTGTCTCTCTATCTCCCTCTCTGATTCGCATTATAATCGCCGCATAAATTTCTGATTCCCATGAAAATTTATGAATGGCATTATATTACAACAATGTAAGATGATAATATTATATAAAAATGAAAGATTGGAAATCGAATATGGTTTTGTAGTCGCTGTTGTTGTTGTGGTAGCTAAACTTCTAATGATGATGAATATGAGCGGAGCATGGTGGCTGACATTTTTTTATGGTATTTTGCTGAAAAGTAAATGGCCCACCGGAAAAGAGGTCTGCAATTGCATGACTTGACTTATGATAACAGATAACAGTGTGGTAGACAATGAGGTTGCAGTTTTTTTGCTATAGCTTTGAAAAAAACTCAGGCAGAGGAAACAAATATCACAGAAAAAGGGAACCCAAAAAATTGACTTTAGTTTCTTGAGGTATTTTTGCTATAGAAAAAAATCCGATTGGATTTTTTTCCTATAGAGAATTATACCTAGGACGACCCGGTTTCATTTTTTCCTTTAGACATAAATACTTCAGAGAACCGAAGTCGGATTTTTTCTATAAAAAATACCCCCGAGAACTGAGGCCTGCGAATTTGTATACCCTCTACGATAAGGTGGGGTGTATATTAAATTTACCATTACCTATGCAACTCCTCGAAATATTCACCGAAAATTGTGATTCGTGATCAGAGTTTTAAAAACAAGAGCTTTTTTCCGGTTTTTAAGAGTTCCAGACACGCTTTTCAACGGAATTAGCTGTAAATTGATAGTTTGAATCCACTTCGGCTATCAGATTTATCTACTAAAAATTATAACATATTTGCCCATGTCACATCCACTGTGGTTGGAAAATGTGGTTAAAAACTTGAAAATATAGAGAATGGTGCGGTACCTCTATGGAAGCTATGCTCATGTTTTACATGGCATCCATAGTGGTCCCGCACTCTTATTGACCTTTTCAAGTTTTTAACCGCATTTTCCAACCAAAGTGGCTGTAATTTGTCGTTCCAGAACAATTATTGGAAATAGGGTGTTTTTTATTCTCTAGAAATCCGAAATGTATAATTCGGTCCCTATGGTGGTAAATTGTGCATTAAGTCCAGAGAATACCCAAAGTAGAACGGGAATTTTATATTGGTGCCAAGTCAAGATATAGACCTATACTGATCATATTCTACATAGATGTAAACCTAATCTCAGGAAATGCCAAAATTACAGCAACTTCGATAGAAGACTGCATTTAGGACCACTAAAATATTTACAATTTGTCGGAACCTATGTATAAGGTCTATATCAAAAAAATTACACACAGCGAATTTGTTTGCAAACAAGTAATTTATCCACGAATTAAAATTAGGGCTAACTACTACCTAATATGTGTTTCATCCTCCAATAACCTGGAATACCAAATTACAGCCAGTAGGTTGGAGAATATTTTTTTATTTCCCAGAAATTCGAAATGCAAAATTCAATCACTTCGGTGGTATATTGATCCTAAGACCATGAAAGATCCATATCAACCTTCAGGAATGTCAAAATACAGCCACTACGATACGAGATTGCGTTTAGCACCACCAAACTACTTAAAGCTGGTCAGGATACCTATGTGGAAAGGAGTTATTTACCCACCAAGAATACAGAATGGATAATTTTAGCCAACTCCTACCGAAAACGTTTTTCGCCCTCCAATAACCTGTATTATCAGCCACGTCATTGAAAAATGGATTTCAAAATTATAGCCACATCAGTTAGGAATGCGGCTAAGGCCTTCAAAGCACCGAAAGTCTTGTTTAGATCTTTATACAGGGGCTATGTAAATACATGACCATATATTGCACACTTTTTCTTCGAATAGGTATTTCATGTTCTAAAAACAATACAAAAGTACAGTCACTTCGATGAAAAAATGAAGCTAAAATCTTCAGAATACCGAAAATGGGACG